TGAACCAGTCTTTGCCATAATGTATTTTGGGGTTTAAAAGCCACTGGGACGTTATGTTTAGAAAATAAACGTCTCAGTTTCTCTGATACTCCCTCAACATACGGAATGACCACTGGTCTGGGTTCCTCCTTTTCACCTGATGGCTGACTGGAGTCCTGTTTGGGTTTCTTCTCTGCTTTCAGGAAGGCCCAGTTAGGATATCCACATTGCTCTAGAGCCTGTCTTGAGTAGGATTTTTCCTTCTGCCTGGCTCCCGAGTTAGTGGGGATGCTGTCTGCTCTGTGATACAGAGTGTTGGATTTAATATTTTATACCTTTTTATAATTCCTATCGAGCACTCAAATGTCATGTCATATAAAGTGTGTGCGTGTCTTTCTTCCAGGGTTGAACTATGTTTATAGAAAATGTTTGCTAATTCTAACTAGTTGACCTTTAAATATAATCTCATAGGAGCTAAGGATAATTTTACAAGTTCACATTTGATAGATTACAAGCAATCAAATCAGGCCTTTCAGAACAGATTAGAGCAGAGACTGATTAACATAAATAAAGCTAGAACACATCTCTTTAATTTAGACAATATAGTTTGACTAAGTAAAATCAAATTAAAAGTATAAAAATGATCCAAATAAAAAACACAAACATGAGTTAGATAATAATAATTAAGTTATTAATTATTCCTAGAAATAAACAACTTGATTTCTAATCAGTTGGTATCACTAAGGTATAATCACGTTAAACAAACAGTGTTAACAGTTTAAACGCAGACAAGGAAACTAAGATGAATCTGCCTTAAAAAAAACAGAATCGCCAGGCCTTCAACAGATATTGAATTAACACCCATGAGGTAGGTAATAATTAATAGTTATTAATTATTACGTATAAAAATTTAGACACGAATCATTTTGTATCCCTAAAGTATAATAGCAAGTTAAACTTTAAACAAAAGCCGATTTCGGTGTACCAAAACTTATCTGAAGTATAGACGTTAACGTCCTTGAGGGGGCGGGCTAAGAGTCGTAACCATAGCGACAGAAGCTGAACCAATCAGGAAGCTAGCCTTCTCAAACGGGGATAAAAGGCCGGAAATGACACACGCCCACCGAGCATTTCCGGGAGGCGCACACGGCGACGGTTCGTTCTTAATGCTCCATTTATATGCATATATCTTATTAATGTAATTGTTTGTCTCTGAATATCTGTAACCCATGTTGTGTCAAATAAATCTTTTATACGAAGGGCGACGCCTCAGCCGTTTTGAACACGACGTGGTATTCTAGCCACAACAAGAGTCCTGATGACTCCTAACTTGTGCTCCAAAGGGTGATGGGAGTCAAACTGCAAATACTGGTCTGTGTGGGTGGGTTTGCGGTACACCTCGATTTGCAATTGTCCTCTATCAGAGACTGAGACCTCACAGTCCAAGAAAGCCAACTTGCCATTTTTTACATCTTCTCGTTTGAACTTGATGTATTTATCCACAGAGTTGATGTGGTCAGTAAAATGTTGGACTTCCTGAGATTTAATTTTAACCCAGGTGTTGTCAACATACCTGAACCAATGACTTGGTGGTGTCCCTGAAAAGGACGTCAAGGCTCTCTTTTCTACCTCCTCCATGTACAGGTTGGCAACAATAGGAGAAACTGGAGACCCCATAACAAGACCCCCAACCGGGGTAACCCCGGTTCTTTGATAACAGAGTGAGGTGCTCACCAACACTTCCCTCCTTGCATGGTCATGGAAAGAAACCATCCTAGAATGAGTAGGAGGGGGTTGGTTGACTGTGGTGTCATGGTGAGGGCGGAGCCCTGAGCACAGCTCAATCGGTCTGTCTTTGACAGACGTAATGTCATTGGAGCTTCCGTAGATGGTCACGCTGGAGCGTTTCCCTTAGTGAAACACCTCACTCTGTTATCAAAGAACCGGGGTTACGTTAAGTAACCTAACAATTTTATTCCTTTCTTCTGGTAAGTTAACTGTGTTTAATTTAATTAGATTTTTATGACATTTTTGTAAAGCAGATTTTTGGTTTATTTGAATTGTGAGTGAGTTGGCACTGTTTCGATGGAGTTTTGGGTGGATTCAGAGTTTCTTTATTGTCATTCGCACCACATGTGGTGCATGTGGTGGAACAAAATTATGTACACAGGGTCACAGTTACATCCAACAATAAAATGTAAAAGAAAAACAGTAATAAGATCTAAGATATGAACTAAGAAAAACATCAGCTAAAAATATGCTAAGCACTAATAGCATAAAAACAATAAACACAATACGCCAAACAGCAGCACAAACATGAGTCTATGTGAGCAGATGAGCACAAAAGAACACAGCAACATGAAACAGATCAGCAGCAACATGATGTGATTTTTCACAGTGATTATCCTGATTACAGATTCATGCGTCTAACAGCCTCAGGGTAGAAGCTGTTCTTCCGTTTAGTGGTTCTACACTTAATATTCCTTAACCTCCTGCCTGAGGGGAGCGGGGCAAAAAGTGTGTGTGCTGGGTGAGTGGGGTCCTTCATGATGCAGGTGGCTCTCTTCCTACATCTGGAGGTGCAGATATCTGATGGTGGGGAGGCTGACTCCAACATGCTTATGTGCAGCCTTCACCACTCTCTGCAAAGCTTGTCTTTCTGCGGCTGTGCAGCCTCCATGCCACATGTACTGCTGCTATTATATTGACTTTTTAAAGTCAACTAAACATACTTTAAGAGTATTTGCTTATTTTATTTAACAAGAACTGATTTAAAATTGCGACCCAGGCTCCTCCGTTTTCTGCTACAGACGGACAACTCTGAACTTCACTAATGGAACTGTTGTGTTCCGGTATATACAGACATTTACTCCACAGAGGGAAGTAAAGACATCAAAGGATTTCTAGTAATACTAAATGGTATCTCCACTACTCATTCAGGTGGGGAATTTGATACCATCCCAGGCCACCACCACCCATTTAGCAAACCACCAAGACTGAGTTAAATTTGAGCGTACTTTGAACACTGTGTGTACTTGTCTAACAACGTGGTGGCCATTGGTGTCAGAAGCATTAGTAATGTGGGGGGACACACTGTTGGGGGGGGGATCTGGGGGTCCTCCCCCATAAAATTTTGAATAATCTAGATGCCATTTCCTGCATTCTGGTGTATTTTAACAGGTTGTTTAACATCTAGTTTTACTTACATAAGTAACACTTGATTCAATAAGCTCTCGACTAAGTAGGAATAGTAGTACAAGTAGTAAGCAGTAATTTATTTTAGTATTCATACATATATATACATATATATTTATATATATATATATATATATATGTACATATGTGTATGTGTGTGTGTGTGTGTGTAAAGGCGTTTTAAACCCTTCCCACACTCTTGCAATATTCTAAACAATGTTTCTAAACTCTAAACATTCTAAAAGAGCACAGAATGTCATGATTTCAGCTCCCTGCCTCTGCTGCTCTCAGCCACCTGCAAGCGCTCTTGGCCACGCCCACTTCTCTGCTCTGTACGAACAGCTGATCAGCTGCAGCAGGAAGTTTATCCTGCAGTATGGGTTGCACAAAAGTGCAAAAGGAAGCTTTTTCTGCAGCTCTGGGCTGCACAAATGTGCAACGTGTGCTAAATAATTTAAAATAATTTATTTTAAATAAAAATTCCATGCCGATCGTGTGGCTCATCCATCAATCAACCAATTGTGTATCTGTCCAATCTTGTTTTGAAAAACCGCGATAGAACGAGTCCACAATAATCGAACCGTGAAGTAGCGAGGGACTACTGTACTACAATAGCACAAGTACTAGTAGTAATGTTCTGTTTTATTAGTAGTAATATTATTAGTAGTATTATATATAAGTATTAGTACCATTACCAAAATGACTTTACTTATAGTATTATTAGTACTACTAGTACAACTACTGTACACGTAGGACTAGTACTATACTATTGCTATTTGTAGTACTTACTAGTAATATTAGTACAAGCATTATTAGTGTTTGTACTAATACTATTAGAGCTAGAACTACTAGTAGTAATGGAACTGCAGTGCTGTTGTAGTAGTAGTACTTGCTCTAGTTTGACAAGTCTCTGTGTCAAATGCTGCTGATATTTGTGGCTGTAAACTGGTTGGACTGAAGCAGAAAACTTCTATATTCACAGAATACTGTGAGAAAGAAACCATAATTCTAAGGCTGCAGTACTTTTAGGCTGAAGCAGCATGAAGGGGGCAGTATTGAACAAAATCTAAGCTGCTGTAAAATCCCCATTAACGTGTAAGCTAAAACATTTTATTTTTAATAATTTAAAAATTGGGAATGTTACATAAACCTAAATTTAAAGCCATCATCTCTTCCATCATCTCTTGAATGAGCGGAACAACAACACATTTAAATGGCTGCAAAGGCGGCAAATGGGGGCTTCAGATGCAGTATGCATGAGTAGTTAAGTGGCAAATAACTGAATAAGAACCAAAGTAAATTATTATTATTATTATTATTATTATTATTATTATTATTATGCACCCAAATCAAGAGAGGTCAGTTTTCAGGACTGCATTTTTTTATAGGAAAGCAATATTATGTTCTCGTTCCACTTTTTTGGTATTTCTAGCTTAAATAAACCACCAAATTTTGTTTGTGTAAAAATCACCTCTGAGCTTTCAGTTAAAAAATTGAGGTAGAACAGTGTGAGGGTTAAAATTGATTTTTGTGTAAACACCATGATTAAAGGAGATGATATTATGAATCTGGGAAGTTGTAGATGTTGATGTGACCATTTTATAAAGCTGGGTTATAAAAAAAAGAACATGCAGAAAAGCCACTGCAACAATTTTAACTTTAAAGGTCTGTTTAGTAGATTTTTGTGCTGAGTATGTTGTTACGTCAGAATTGATAAACCAGACAGATATCTAACAGAAAGGGACAGAGAAGAGAGACTGACCATTGTTAATTATTGACTAAACCATCAGGTGTTTCTCTGAGCTCCCGTATAAAAACAAGAAGTCTCTGACAAGCTTTTTTGCAGCAAGGAGGACAGTGAAGGTAAGCAGATAACTTTACTGAAATTCGGTTCAGAATATTGTCAGCTTCATTTAAAAAGCCCTTACAAGAACAGAAATAGCTTTGAAGGTGAAGATCTGAAGACATTGATTTAATAACAGTTGTACAAAGGCAAAGAAAATCAGTACCATCTATTTAAATATAAAATAATACTCATCTTATTGCCTACAGACAAACAGACAGACAGACACAGCCAGCTAGCCAGATAGATAGATAGATAGATAGATAGATAGATAGATAGATAGATACATAGATAGATAGATACATAGATAGATAGATAGATATATAGATAGATACATAGATACATAGATAGATACATAGATACATAGATACATAGATACATAGATAGATAGATACATAGATAGATAGATTCAGATTACTACTTTGACTTGCTGGAGTTTAACCTTGTATTTCCATGAACAGGCTCTGAAGATGTGTCGTATCTTTGCAAGTTGTGCTCTAGCAGCGCTGCTGCTGGCTGTAGTTTGGGCAGATCACCATCACCACCATGACTCAAAACACAGCCATGAGGGTGAAATGGCCTGCCATGTTCTCTCCCCTCATAACGCCGACTTTGCCTTTACTGTCTACAAACATCTGAATGCCAAGGCTGCTGATGGGAAGAACATCTTCTATTCACCACTGGGCATCTCCACAGCTCTGTCTATGTTGTCTGTAGGGGCCCGCGGTGACACCCACACCCAGCTGTTCTCAAGCTTGGGATACAGCACCCTGAACCAGGCACGGGTCAATGAAGCCTATGAGCACGCTTTCCACATGCTCAACCACAGCCAGGAGAACCAGCTGCTGGAAGTTGGTAACTCTGTTGCTGTACGTACTGGTTTCAATCCTCTGCCAGCTTTTCTGAATGATATCCAGCACTACTACACTGGTGAGGTCTTCAATGTGGACTTTGAGAAACCCGATGAGGCAAAAGAACAGATCAACCAACACATTGCCACTAAAACCCATGATAAGATCAAGGATATGATGAAGGACTTGGACCCTCAGATGGCCATGATCCTGATCAATTGGGTCTACTTTAGAGGTAAGGATGCACAACAGGTATATGTGGACAACCAACTATTTTGATAGTGTTCAGTCACATCTAAAGTATTCAAGGATAAAACACATCATGAATGTGTAGATTAGTAAAAGAACCCCTAAAATTAAGACTTCAGATAAAAACTAACTGTTTTTAAATATTAACATTGCTCTAAACATCTTCACAGGACAGTGGGAGAAACCCTTCAATGGCAACCTAACAACCAAGGGTGACTTCCATGTGGATGAAAACACCAAAGTTGAGGTCGACATGATGAAAAAGACAGGACGTTTTGATTACTATCGGGACCACAACAACTATGTGACTGTCATCCTGCTGCCCTACAAGGGCAACACCTCCATGATGATTGTCCTGCCTGATGTAGGAAATATGAAAGAAGTGGAAGGTCTCATCAGCAAGGATCACATCAGGAACTGGCATAAATCTCTCTATAAGAAGTAGGAGGAATATTATATTTATAATGTACAAGTTCTATTGTTATAAACTACTGCAATAATAAGATGATTGTTGCTTCATAATCTATGTCTCGCTTGTTCCGCAGCAACATAAATCTTTCCATGCCAAAATTTTCCATCTCCACTGAAGCCTCTCTGGATGAGACCCTGAAGGAAATGGGAATAACCAATGCTTTTGGAGAGACGGCAGACTTCTCTGGCATATCTGAAGAGGTCAAGCTTAAAGTGTCAAAGGTATGACTGAGAGGATGCCCGTCAGCGTAAACAATTTGTGGCATCTGCAGTTGTCCAATAAAGTTATTCGCTTTAACTTGACTTTTGTCTTCTGGTTCCTCTGCAGGCCTCCCACAAGGCTGTGCTGAGTGTGGATGAAACTGGCACTGAGGCAGCAGCTGTCACCACCCTTGAAATCATGCCCATGAGCTTGCCTGAAAGTATAACATTGAACAGGCCCTTCCTGCTCTTCATCCTGGAACACTCGACAAGGAGCATTCTCTTCATGGGCAAGATCAGCAACCCCACAGCCTAGAAAAGTTGACTGATGAGTGTACTGTTATCACAGCTTTTATGCCGCAGTAAGTTTCAGTAGCTTTGGGACATTTACTTCATCATCTGAAACCATTATTGTGGCATAACCATGATTTTAGGTGCATCGAAAAAGACAATAAACTATTTTTCAAGAAACGCAAAGTTGGTCCATTAATCTGTCTGTCAGCATGATACATCTGCAGCCATTTATGATGCGCTTTGGTTAATAAATGTCTTCATCAGTCATTTTGGATTATACTCCCATTAACTGTTTTCTCAGGATAGAGATAATGACTAAAACATTTGCCCTCTGAAGCATCTATTGGCGTGAAGTCTATTGGTTATTGTACTATTGCTGGTAACAGAAATAAAGACTTGTAATACAACAACTAGATGTTCTTGTTTATATTTCAATTTAGTTTTCATCGAGGAGTGCAATAAATCACCAGTTATTAAGGAGACTCGATACAGCATTTAACCAGAATTAGTTCAGAAAAAAACAAAAAGAAGGCTGTAGTGGTGACAATTTTTCGATGTCTTTGTTTAATTTTCCTCCAATTCTGCATCAAACAGAGGAGACACCAATCACAGCTGATAAAGGTGTGGACTTTATCTGCATTGTGTGCACAGGATCTGGCTTTATCTGTACTTCTCCATAGTTGCTGTGTTCACAAACCTCTTGTATCATGACTGCAGTTACTCCACTCTATTCAGTTATTTGCTTTAATGTAGAGCCATGTCAGCATTCAATGTCCAACAGACATTAAAGTTATAATCCAGGGTCAGAAACAACACTTATTTAACCCCCAAACCATGTACATTTTCTAACACTCCCTTTGTGTTTTGTCATATCCAGACCTGACCAGGTTTATTTTTTCTAACCTTAAATGATATTTAACCCTGAATCTAATTTTGTGAAAATCAAGGCTGATGATAAAACACAAGAAGAAACTTAAAATAGGATCAGGACTGGACTGTCTTTGTGACTGTAGTTTTCAAAGTAACGAATAGTCACACCCAGAGGTAAATGATAAATGGACTGTAAATAGCATCTTTCTGTCTAATCAAGATACTCAAAGCTCTTTACAACACAATCTGTGTCCTCATTTACCTCCACACACACTCTACTACATCTCTACAAAGATAATCTGAATCTCTAGAGACTAATCAGTGCTTTAGATCACATTTAAACACCAATGGGACACACATCAGAGGCAATGAGGGGTTCAGTGTCTTGCCCAGGGACACTTGGACATGTGACTGCTGGTGGAATCAAACCCCCAATTCTTGCATTGGAGGACGACTGCTCCAACCACTCAGCCACAGTTGACTGGTTTGTGAACCCATTAAAACTTATCCTTGTATAAAAGTATATTTGTTGGCCAAATACTTAAGACGTGATTAAAGGAAAATGTTTAGAGGGTGTTATGTGTATGTTTAAATATTCATTAATTACCTTACCAGTGGTGGATAGCTTCATAAACGGCCTCAGTTTGGAAGAATAGAGTTTATGTTCAAATGGACGAATGCAACCACGGCTAGTTAAAATGAAGCCGACTAATGTGAATGGTTGTTATTCTAAAACATATCCAGCTCTCTAAACTTGATTGTAGTTCATGTGAATTCTATTTTGTAAACAAAATTCAATTCAATTCAGAAATACTTTATTAATCCCAGAGGGAAATTAAGTGTTGTCGTAGCTCATCATCCTGGTTTCATTCAAGAGTTGTTATAGATGCTGATAGCTGTGGGCAGGAAGGATCTCCTGCAACAAATCCAAAGAATCTGGCCACAGATACCGATCCATCCACCTGAATCCAGCTTGCTGTCAGATCTGGCGGTCCTCTCGGTCCTCCTGGGTAGCAAAGACTGCCCGACTGCAGGGTAGAATTCCTCCCTGAGCGATGGTCAGTACTCCCAGCAGTCTGCCGAGCTTCTCGTCACCACGGACAGACTGCTTACGGTGCCGGGGGATGATCCTGGTCCTCCCAATGTCACAAGCTGAGTTTCCCACCAGCTCCATGATCTTGGCGGTCAGGTACTCAAGCACAGCCGCCAGGTTGACGGGAATTCAACCACGGTGCCTCTTTTTCAACTCATTTGGGTCTGTAGCTGAGGTATTTGAGCTTTTAAAACATTAATCAGCTGCTCCTGGTTGTTAAAAAAAACACCTTGTCGCCATGGTTACGCATCATAACAAATGCCCAAAAGTAAATAGGTGTCTGTAAAAATCGTTCCAGCTGCACAGCATCCAATACCAGAGGAAGTAATCATCCGAAAAAAAGTGATTTACATCCAGAAAAAAGAAGAATTAAAGTTTTCAAAAGCCATAACTCAGAATGAAAGTAACAGAGCTACTCCAACATGCAGCCACCCCGAGCGTCGCAAACCTTTACATCACCTTAAATTTGACACTACTCCTGATGCTAGAAATCCATGCAAACGAGCAATGATAAGAAACAAGTGGTACACCGATGTCCCCCATCACCGAGGAACTTGAACAGTGAATGTTTGCAGTTTTTCAAGACAAGTGTTTTTCTTGACTAGAACTGAACAAGGAATGCAGGTAAACCTGAATGTTTCTGGTGCAAGAACTTTAAGTGAGTAGTAATCACACTGTGTTGAAGAATGGAGGTGTTTTATTTATTTATTTTGCTTGTTTGAAGCCACGCAGCATGATATTGGTGAGATGAGGGAGCAATTTTATTCACCACTAGGTGCAATGTCTGAGCCCTGGGCTGGCCATACATCAAGGGTCTGCAACCTTTACGATAAAAACAGCCATTCCTTCCCCTATGTTCACTACATTAAACGTGTCTGGAGCCACAATACCTGCTGCAACTGAGATTCTCAACTGGTGGCCCATGGACCACTTTAGGTTTGTTGGAGGGCGCTTTTCTGGACAGTAGGGGTGATTTTATAAAACTAAAAATATCTAAAGATTTTTAACATTTATTGATGTTTTTACACTCTAAGAAAAAATAAAAGACGAGATTCTTGTAAAGAAAAAAAATATGTATATAGTTTTTGCCCAGTTTCTAAAATCTAAAACAATAAACTATGCATTCTTATGTGATTTTTTATATTGTAGAAAAATTACGTATCCTACTATGAAGAAATAAAGCGTAAAGTGAAAGTGAGTATGTTTTACTCCTTGTAATGTTTCTACTATTCATATATTTGCTAAATAAATTACAGGAAAACTTCTAAAACTAGTCCTTTTAGTTGTTATAACAACCAATAAAATTCAGTTTTATGTCAGTTTTGGTCAAAGCATGAAAGAGCCGCTGCAGAGGGACCAAAGAGCCGTATGTGGCGCCAGAGCCGCAGGTTGCAGACCCCTGCCATGGATGAATCTTTGGCTAGCCCAATCATCTGAGGAAACCATACTTTTAAGAAATATAAAAACTAGAACTCATAGTTACCTCAAATGATAAGCGTGGCCAGTTAGCATATAAATATGGTGATCCATCGTGGAATTTCAGGTGGTAGACCAATTTTTAATAAGGATTTTTCTTACGCCTAGATACAGCCACGCAGCAAAATGAAAGTTGGTATCTCATTTATTTTCCAAGTTAATGTGTTCACAACATGCATGGACAAATGGAGGGTATTGATGAATTGTTCAAGAAAATTTATACGCAAGATAACATTTAAATTATTTTCAAGTTTTACACAAACCCTGCTGCTACACAGCAGATGGTTTTTAAAAAAAAAAAAAAAGATACAGTACGTGCACCTTGTTCTTCTGGTCATCTTTGAATTGATGGGGCTTGTCATAACTAATCATTTTAACATGGGTTTGTTTTTTCTTAAAGTCACATGACCGAAAGGCGGACTTACAATTAGGCAAAGGTAAGCCAAGCTGTTAACTGAATTCTGTCAAATGTGATTATTTAAGGAAAAGCTGAACGATTCTGCAAAAGAGAGCTTCTCCCTCTTTAATGGACAGACACCTTCTGTACCTGGACACAGCAAAACTTTTTATGTCCTCACCTGTCTTGCTGAATATTGGCCAAAGTGGAAGTTACTGGTTTAATAATAATTATGTTTGTACTGCCCCCACAGCAGAAGTCTAAATACAGATGATGATGTTAAATACAAGTTCATGTGATGTCTAAAGAGAATGATGAGGATCTGAATTACAGTTATATTCAGGATAAATGATTATTTGTCACTGATGGGAGTTTTTCTTTTACTCACAAAAGGGGATTACTAGAAAACCCTTGTAATTTTAAAATATTATACTTGTTTTTAAATATTATATCATTTGATTTTAGTGTCAGAAACATAAATTCTGCTTTTATCACCTTCTAGTTAAATGTGACATTAAATGCAGAATTAGTGCATTTACATGTAAGCATGTCAGAGTCAGTTTCTTTATTTGTCATTTGCACCACATGTGGTACATGTGGTGGAATGAAATTGTGTCCACAAGGTCCCAGTTACATCCAACAACAGTATAAAGTGTAAAAGAAAAACAGTAATAAGATCCAAGATATGAACTAAGAAAAATGTTAACTAAAAAAACGCTAAGCACTAGTAGTACAAAAACAATACGCCAAACAGCAGCATGAACATGAGTCTGTGTGAGCAGATGAGTATGTATGAATGAATGTAAGTGTGACTGAATAAATTTGATAATGAATTAAAAAAAAAATTCTCAAGACAATCTGTTTAGTAGTTTTCCACTAAAGTCCTGCTGCGTACATACCAAGAAAACCTTTCAGTTTGCGCATTGAGTAACAGATAAGTTTTTTTTTTTTACTGATGTCACAAAAATGTGACCAGGTGGCCATTAGCCCTGCATGACTCTTTGTCCTTTGAGCTGTCAATATATGCACATGTATCCACACTGTTTACACAGTCGATACGTGCACTTTGTCTCCTCTGTTACCACCACCCACTCTGACTTCTGTAAAGACAGGCATCAATCAAAGATCTGAATGGGGCGTATAATTTTATTATGCTGTCCAGTCTGCAGCACACAAACAGCTGCTGCTGAGGACTCTGTCGTGTCAAGTACAGTCAGACGCAGCTCCGTTTTACAAGCTCATGTATTTGGGAAGTTTTATTCAAAAGGATTTTGGTCAGTTTCTGTCTGAAATGGCAATTCATTAAAAACACAAAGCTCTGTACTTAAACAAGCACTGACTTTTCATAGCAGCAACATCCAGTTATGTTGTCTTCATCATTTAAAGACAATATTTGTTGCATTTTGGCCTTTTAGAAATGTTCTTTTGTGGAAAAAGTTATGTACAATTACAAAGTATTATCTTATGAGTTGTAGGTACAAAAAAGTATTCACCCGCTTGGATATTTTATGCTTTTATTATCATAAGTAGTGCGGCACAGTGGCGCAGTTGGCAGAGCTGTTGTCTCTCAGCGA